TAGCTGTTTCAGTTTATATACATATATCAAGGCTGAACAAACTTTTTCCCCAAAATGAAAATCTATCTGAGGGCTGCGGCCAAATGCAATATTGTAATTCATGAAACAGATTGATTAAACTTAACTGATCCCAAGGAGAAATTACATTACATACAAATACTTCTTAAGTACAGTCCTTTTATTTGAATGATTATGTCCTGCTGGAGTGTGACATGATTTGTTTGTGTACAAACTAACACGGTATCAGAATTTTATATATTTATACTTCTCATTCAACCACAATTAAATTCACTCTAGGAGACACAGTTTATATGGATAATATTTATTTTTTACAATAGCAAGCAAAAATTAAATTAAAGTAACGACTTTCTACTGCTTGCCTTTTAAAAAAATGTAAGGAGTAGAAAGTACAGAAAATTGTGTGAAAATGTAAGAAGTAGAAGTAAAAAGTCGGCTGAAAAATAATTACTCAAATAAAGTACCGATACCCAAAAATTCTACTTTACAGTAACAAAGTGTTTGTGCTTAGTTACTTTACAATGCTGTAAACATCAAGCATAGTGTACAGAAATGTGACCCTTTTTATCATTAAATGTTGTGCTAAAGCCTCCATTATAAAGGGAGCATGTAAAGAAAGAAGAAATCTGACCATTCCCACACTCAGATKGTATCTACAGTAAATACATTCTGCCCAGAGGCTGCAAACCATTATGTGCCAAATGTGGCAAAAATAGTAAGAAAATATGTTAAGATGAAGAGGAAAAGGGTTTCCCTGCCTGCTGTATAATTTGTTGTGGATCTCCCAACATTTTTGCCTCGAACGTAGAAGCTTTCAAAGAGGAAAGTGCATTACTGGCAGGGAAGGTGAAGGAAATATCCTTAAACCCATTTTCCAATTTGAATATCCTCAATTTTTTCCACATCTTAGTCTCTCCCACCAGATGCAAGCAGAGACGAGGACTGACAGAGGAGAGAGACGTTGCTTCAGAGCCGTCGTTCTAAATATCAATTAAAATGTGCAAACGAGAAACCCGCATCAACCGTTCTGTTCTAGTTATTTATCACTGAATTTGAGCATTTCTGTCAGGCGGGCAATTAAATGCATTGGTGACGAAGTATATAATATTCTAAACTGAATTTATGAAATAAGATTGAGTCGTGCACGCTTTAGACATCAAAGATGTCAAAAGAAGTGAGTATTTACTGATGCATCCTCTCTTAACGTCTCCTCTCCTTCAGATGAATACTGAATCAGAGGAATTATTCAAAATATTTAGCTGAGTTTAATATTTAGGTCAGAGGCAGGACACTGAAGGAGAGCAAAGAGAGAAAAAGAAAAGCTTTTATATTATATGTTTTTATCTTTTTAAATATACTATGTATAAATGCACTGTTTATATAGAAGGGTCTATAAAACCTCTCTGTTGAAAACAACACCTCAGCTGAAAAGATTATGTTATCTTAGAAACATAAACTGTTCAATATTCCTTCTGAGAGGCAAGAAACTCTTCAGGAAAAAAAAGTATTCTTACCATGAACAGTGATCATCTGGGGTCTCATTTATAAAGGATTGCGTGGAAACCATACTAAAAGTGAACGTACGGCCAAAAGG